GTTTCTGAAGTCCAGTGTTTTGGTTTTGGTGGTTTTTCTTGCATATTTGCCATATTATGGATATTAGAGTCACTAGTTGGGATGAATACTTAAATTCCTCAACTGAAAACTCTGTAAATATTTATACATGGTTTTAATGGATTTGGGCCAGAAAAAAAACAAAACGGAAATTTTTAGTGACGTTTTTCACTTTGTATTAACCACAGATGTAGTTAAATATAGCTTAGCAGTGATCAATCTATTGTAAAGCATTTATGTCTTGGAGAAAGTTGCAGTATGTTTGAATGCCGAGGAGTGTTCACCAAATCCATGGCCACAAAAATGCGTCTGGAATGTCAGCCCTTCTCTCTCTGTAGGTCCATACCAGTGGTTCTCTAGTACCTCCTTATGATAACCGCTTTAGCTCCACTCGTGCCGTTTCTGAAGTCCAGTGTTTTGGTTTTGGTGGTTTTTCTTGCATATTTGCCATATTATGGATATTAGAGTCACTAGTTGGGATGAATACTTAAATTCCTCAACTGAAAACTCTGTAAATATTTATACATGGTTTTAATGGATTTGGGCCAGAAAAAAAACAAAACGGAAATTTTTAGTGACGTTTTTCACTTTGTATTAACCACAGATGTAGTTAAATATAGCTTAGCAGTGATCAATCTATTGTAAAGCATTTATGTCTTGGAGAAAGTTGCAGTATGTTTGAATGCCGAGGAGCGTTCACCAAATCCATGGCCACAAAAATGCTTTGTGGGCAGTTCTTATTAGTTTACTCTGTTTTTCTTTAAAACGGAAACTGTTCTTCTTTAAAGAATGAAGACACAAATTCTAATTTCCTTAAGATGAATGCTTATATGTGTCATGCTACGGTGAGATAAACACACGAATAAGATGAAGATAAATACAAATATACTTTATTAAATCCACAGGACAAGGGTAAATCCAGGACAGGACAAAACAGGCAGGAGACACGTAGGGACGTAGTAGACCGGACGACAAACAGTGAACTGAACACAACTTAAATAGGAGGGCTGATGAGGGTAATTAATGATACACACCTGAACCAAATGACAATAATCAGACATGAGGGAAAACTAGGTCACACAGAACACATGAGCAATGAAAACACAACAAATGTCCAATGGTGTGTGACAATATGTTTGTTTTTAGAGAAACTGTCTCCAACTTTAATTAGGGGCAGTTATGATAGATCACAAAGTCTATATACACTACCATTCAAAATATTTTTTTCTTAAAGAAATGAATAGCTTTATTCAAGAAAGAAACATTAAATTGATCAAAGGTAACAGTAAAGACATCATAATGTTATAAAAGATTTACATTTAATATAAACGCTGACCTTTAATACACCTTATAATGCATTTTGTGATCTCATGAATAATAGTAACCACAGTTAGTACAGTATAATGCTTATCTATTCATTAGAAAGTATAATGCATTAAAACACATGAAAAACAAACCTTCAAATATTATGCATTTTAACTTTAGTTACAAATATTTATGAAAATATATATTACATTACAATGTACATTATCAACCCCAGTGTATGGGGGTAACACATTAAAAGTAACTTGACTTACATAATCAGATTATTTATTTTAAGTAACTAGTAAAGTAACGCATTACTTTTAAATTTACAACAAAATATCTGAGTTACTTTTTCTAATAAGTAACGCAAGCTACTTTGTTTTCCATTTATTGATTGAGACCTCTCTTGTTTCCATGTTGAGTATTGCAAAAGTAATGTAACGTATTATGTTCCATAAAAAGTAATGAAGTAACGCAATTAGTTACTTTTTTTAGGAAAGTAACTTTACATTACTTTTAAAAGTAACTTTCCCCAACACTGATTATCAATACCTTTATAATGCATTATACAAAAAGGCTTCAAGTTACTTTTTACCAAATTTCCTATGCATCAAAGATTCTTGAAATACAATTTATCAAAGTTTCCACAAAAATGTTTTATCATCTTACCAACCCCAGACTTTTGAGAGTTGATAATGAAAGTTTATATAGTGTATTGAAATATTAATTGTGGGATTGGAAAAACAGAACAAGGCCATGAATTGAATACAAGCTGTTCAATTTGATTTTGTTGGACTTAAGAAACATATAAGAAAACAAATATTGCAGTGATTTTATTGTCTTGAATTTGGCCATTTTTTTTCATAAAGACCATGTCAATTGGTTAGTTTTGCCCTTTTTATTGAGTCATGAGGACTTGTGAGTAGTGGTCGACCGATATTTGGCATTTTTCAAATATCGGCATCGGCCGATACGTTTTTCTGTTTGGCCGATGCGTTCCAGGCGGGACTTTTATTTTGACGGCGCTGAGAGCGGCAGCGCCTGAACACACAGTGCTCACATTCTCCCTCTTGTTCGCTGTCGTCGTTAACAGTTCTGTCTAATACGGATAGAAGTGTGTCTAATAATCAGATAGAACTGTTAAACAAAGGAATTAAAATGTATACAAAAAATATTATAACGATTGCTTTTATATTATTAATAATAGAAAGGCAAACATTATTATACTTTCTCATTTGCTGTCAGCATTCAGCAAATACGCATTAACATCATTTAAACAAATCTTTGAATGGCTAATGAACATTTAATTTCACAAACCTTGCAAACGTAGTCGAATCACTATCGGCTTTATATCGGCCATCGGCCACCCTGCTTTCCAAGATATCGGCATCGGCTGTCAAAAAACCAATATCGGTCGACCACTACTTGTGAGTGTGATACCGTTAAGACTACAGATGTTTTACTAATGTGTCAGTACAAGTTTGAGTCATTTTTGCAAATCAGTTCGTTCAAGCTGTCTTCTTCAATTAAATGAGTCAGTGTGATTGCACATAGTCATATGGAATTCTTCTTTCTTTAAAATGTTTAAAAATGTTTTTCACATTTTCTAGTAAGCCAAGCCGATGTAGTAAATATTGCTGCTTATTGCTATATATTGTTGTGCTATATTTTAAACAATGAAATTAGGACACTTTTTTTAAATTATCTGAGTATTTGAGTTACGTAAATACTGATTAACAAATGTTGATATGTTGTTCAACCCCTATTAGTGCTTGCATTGATTGATTTGTGAACAGCCGGCCTCCATTGTCTGCTTTTACCATGCCATTAGCCAATCTTGTTCAGCTTGTCTTGTTGACACCAAGGAAATTTATCAGTGCCTTCACTATCTTGATTTTCAATACCACTGCTATTAATACCCTCCAGCTCACGAAAGCTGTAAAGCACTGCCTTGAAAATCTGATATTTCGTCACCTGAACTTCACTTGACATCAGGAGTCTGAAAAATCTGGCGCCTTGCTCGGCAGCTCAGTGTGTCCTCCGCTCCGGCAGCCATTTTGTCTTTCCTTTCCAATTCTCCTCTTTCTGCTGTCACATAATGGGATGAACTGATTGACAGGGCTTATGCAAATGATTATATGATCCCACAAGATTCTTTATTTAAAGTAGGGTTGGGAGAAGCTCCAGTGCCAAAGGGAGATTCATGGTCATACCATCTGGAATGACTGGAGTTACTGTCAACCCTCCTATTGGTCTTGAGCCGTCTCAATTAACCAGTTATTGTAAGACAGCCTGGAAGGGGCAGCTGATGCTCCTCTAAAGTCGGCTGAGACCTTATGTCTTTCCAAACCTGTATTCCTTCTTCCACAGAACACAAAGTTAGATATTTGGACGAATCTTCATGTAGTTGTTTAACGGTTCATGATTATGGTGATGTATGTGCTATATTTTTCAAATCTTTAGAATCCACACGATAGTTTTGTATGAGGAACAGACAAAAAAATGAAGTATCTATTCACTGAAAATCTGTTCATTCAAGGGCCATATTGTGACAGGATCAAGGAATTAATGAACTGATCTCTGATTCATGAACGAATCAGTTCAATTCTTGCATGAATTGTTCAGTTCAGTCAGATTTGTGACTCAGACAAACTGATTCAATGAACAGAACCAACTAGAACCAAAAAAAAAAAAAAAAAAAAGATTGATTGATTGATTGACTAATAGAGTTTAATTTAGTGGATCAGTGATCCGGTGATATCTAATAGGTTCTGAGTGAATAAAGACATTTCAGTCTGTTCATATGACTTGGAAAATAGCGAATGATCTGTATGGGCAAGTCGTCATGAAATGGTACTGTAGTAGCAACAGATATTTTCTTCCGAATGATGATATATATCCGAGTGAAATGGATTATCGAAAATGTAAAAAAAATAAATAAATAAATAAATTTGGGTGAGCATTTGGTTCTGTGTGTAAGTTTTTGATTGGATTCAGGCAGATCTGAATAAAATCTTGCAGCCAATTGTAAGAAAGGGGTGGGATTTAAGTGGATCTTGTTTTGTGTGCTTTGCTCACTCCAACTCTCTGATTGGTGGAATTTTCTGCACAGAATCATGGGTAATGTAGTTTTTCACCAGAAATTCTGCTATTAAAAAAAGTATTATTTTCAAAAGTAAATTGAATTAATTCAAACAAGTGGGTTGAAGAAATGCATACACCATTGATTGACAACCTCAAAGCTCGCAACCAGGTCTGTCTGTACAGGTTTATAAGTTATAGTTAAAAATTAATTTCCCTGTGGAGAAAATGAATGGAAGTTTTACTTCCGGAACATGATAGTTGCATTCTATTGAAGTCTGTCATTTTGCCAGAAAATCGACTTTTTGATGAAAAATTACTAGGTAAAAAAAAAAAAAGTAAATAAACAGATGAATCTTTCACAGTAACATCAAGAACATACATTTAAAAAATAGATACTATGAATTTCCTTTTTATGCCAACAGACATGGAAAAAAAAAAGATTCTGTGAAGATTCTACAAAAAAAAAAACACACTGGTTTGACACAATATGAGGGATTGATTTTGTTTTGTTTTTTATTAAAAAGAATTTAAAATTTTGGATGAACGATTCCTTTAATTGTGACCTCCTGTTGTTCTTTCGGTCTCTCTCCTAGTCCTGGGTGTGAGGGCTCACGTAGGGGCCCAGGTGGAGCCGCCACCATTGCAGCCAACGAGTGGAGCGCCAGTGAGAGCCCGGAGGAGGGGCAGGAGGATGGAGTGGATGGGATGGACAAGGCCGGAATGGAAGGCGATGCAGAGGGCATCTGGAGCCCTGACATCGAACAGAGTTTCCAGGAGGCTCTGGCCATTTATCCCCCCTGTGGCCGCAGAAAGATCATCCTTTCAGACGAAGGCAAGATGTATGGTGAGTCCTTAAAAAGCTGAATACGCCCGTCGAGAGTCAATTGATGGACTTAGTGCTCAGATCACACTTTGCCGGCAAAGCAATAGCAACTTAGGAGAGTAGAAGTCATTCTTATGATTCTTACTTGAAGATTTTCCAAATATCTCAATAAAAATAAAAAATAAATCACAGCTCAGCTATTTATTGCAGTAGCGCTGATGCTGGATAAAAATGTAGTGAAACACGGTAAGGACAAACCGGGTCAATGCAAGCTGTGGGAGTTTTGTTGAACTGAATCAGAGGGTGAACTTATGACACTTCCCACCTCCAGATTTTCCCATTCCCACATGGGATCCACTGACAGGAATGCTGTGTCTCCCTTTTGAGTCAGCATTCACAATAAAGCATGAGTCAGCCTCCTGCCTTATATCACGTGTGACAATTTTCTATTTATCATAGCCATGACTGGGTGTATGATTGAGACATGACTCATTAGTTATTAAAATTACTTGATACTTTAAAGGAGTGGATTCATGTTTGTTTGTGTGTCATAGTGTATAAATTACTACATATTTACAGAGATGTGTCTGGCTGCTACCAAGCACATATTTTCTAAAAGGAGGTCAGTTTATGATTGTTTACAGGCCAACTAGAGTTATAGAAAACAAACATTGTGACTTTTTTGAATATTGAACTGAAAGGAAATGTAGCATTTAAACCCTATTCATATTAAATGTGAATTTTTGTCCCAAATAGTTTACCTTTATTTACAGAAAAAACAGCAATAATGTGAAATATTTTTACAATTTAAATAATGGTTTTCTATATATAAATATATAAATATATATATATATATATATATATATACATACAGGGTTTAAATTGGGCCGGGGCCGTCTGGGGTTTGAGCCCCGGCACATTGACTCCAGGGCTCGACATTAAAGGGGTCATATGACGTTGCTAAAAAGAACATTATTTGGTGTATTTGGTGTAA